TTACAAAGTGTACGATAATGTGAGTTTATATCATTTGGAGTGTGTTTAAAGAAAGAAGAAGAAAAGAACTAACATAAATGAAATCAGAAAGAAAAAAACAAGTTTATATTCTCGTCACAGTCGACTTTGTAATTCTAATACTTTAGAAATTTCTAAACAATCTTAATTTCTTGCCAACTCGTCTACGACGTGTTTTAAAACGTTGCCACAATTCACGATTTACGTAATTATTGTACCAAATTTAATAGATTAACATTCACATTATTTAAAGAAAATGATTTATATAGGAACATTCTAGGACAAGTCGATCACATTTGACGTGATTCAAGCAAATTAAAATCATATCGTTTTGAGATGTCTGTCACACACATCAATATTATAACTAAGTTTCGAGAAAATGAGACGAATGCAGAATATCAGGTGTAGAATTATTGTAAGATTTATTTGTTATAATATTATTATTATTAATTATTTTTTATGTTTTATTGACATATAATAAATAATATAATACCCAGTAAGAGCAAGTTATCAATTTGAAGAAATGAGACGAGTTGCTTATAGTAACTAAAAAATGTATGGTAACTAAACAAATCTGAGCGTGCACGAAATGCACGAAAACGTTCCGTTGAACTCTGGAATCTTCCTTATCGTGTTTCACTGCTTAATTTCACACTTTTTTCTTTAGTTTCACTTTTACGAGGCTCTTTTACAAGGCTCGCTTACGAGGCTCGTTTACGAGGCTCTTTTGCGAGGGTCGTTTACGAGGCTCGTCTACGAGACACTTTTACGAGGCTCTTTTACGAAGCTCGTTTACGAGATTCTTTTACGAGGCTCGATTAATGATGAATAATGAACGATGAATGATTAATGATGAATGATGAATTCTTAACATGAAATGCTTAACGCGAAACGTTTAACGCGTATACTATTAATTCAACTAGTAGTACTAGTATACTATGTAGTGCTAGTAGTACTTGTTACTATAAGTATTACTAACTTGGTATAGTAAGTAGTAGTATAGTATAACGTATAGTATAAGTACTAGTATACTAGTACTAAGTAGTAATAAGGCGTATACTACTAATTCAACTAGTAGTACTAGTATACTATGTAGAGCTAGTAGTACTTGTTACTATAAGTATTACTAACTTGGTATAGTAAGTAATAGTATAGTATAACGTATAGGATAAGTACTAGTATACTAGTACTAAGTAGTAATAAGGCGTATACTACTAATTCAACTAGTAGTACTAGTATAGTATGTAGTGCTAGTAGTACTTGTTACTATAAGTATTACTAACTTGGTATAGTAAGTAGTAGTATAGTATAAAGTATAGCATAAGTACTAGTATACTAGTACTAAGTAGAATTAATACTTATTATACTTTGTATAGAAATTATATTTCTAATATATAAATTATAGTTTCTTAGGAAGGTAAGCTTTTCTTTGACCTATAAATAATGTTTTATTATATTATTAATTAGGTACGATTACATGTTTTATTTCTCATTTTAAATTATCTCATTTTACCTTCATTATAGCTTTTTGCTTAGTCTAGATGACTGTATTTTTTATATATTGGTTTAACAATATAAAAAATTTGCAAAATAAAGAAAAAAGTGTGAAATTAAGCAGTGAAACACGATAAAGAAGATTCCAGAGTTCAACGGTACGTTTTCGTGCATTTCGTGCACGCTCAGATTTGTTTAGTTACTATAAGCAACTCGTCTCATTTCTTTAAATTGAGAACTTGCTCTTACTGGGTATTATATTATTTATTATATGTCAATAAAACGTAAAAAATAATTAATAATAATAATATTATAACAAATAAATCTTACAATTATCCTACACCTGATATTTTGTATTTGTCCCACTTTTTTTGAAACTTAGTTATAATATTGATGTGTGTGACAGACATCTCAAAACGATATGATTTTAATTTACTTGAATCACGTCAAATGTGATCGACTTGTCCTAGAATGCTCCTATATAAATCATTTTCTTGAAATAATGTGAATGTTAATCTATTGAATTTGGTACAATAATTACGTAAATCGTGAATTGTGGCAACGTTTTAAGACACGTCGTAGACGAGTTGGCAAGAAATTAAGATGGTTTAGAAATTTCTTAAGTATTAGAATTACAAACTCGACTGTGACGAGAATATAAACTTCTTATTTTCTTTCTGATTTCATTTATGTTAGTTCTTTTCTTCTTCTTTCTTTAAACACACTCCAAATGATATAAACTCACATTATCGTACACTTTGTAAATGAATGAAATATATAGAAACAATTTTACAATGCATAAATTGTCTAATGTTATATATATATATATATATATATATATACTCACGTACGTAGAGAACTATGAACGATAGTAATACGTTTTATGATTGTGTTATATAACGTGTTTATAAGCGATATGTAAAGTTTGTAAATGACGAAGCAAAAAAAGAAGAAAAAAAAAAAAATGGGGAACGTGCCAGAATTTCGATTTAAATAGACTGTTATCCAAACTTCTCTCATTCGTATCGTAGTTTAAAAAAAAAAAAAAGAAAAAAGAAGAGGAAAACGATGAAATAGATGAAAATATTCGTTGAAATTCTCTCTTAAGTTTCCTTCTTATTTTTTTTTTTTTTTGTAGAATCCACTTGTTACATCATTTTTGTTTGTTTTTATTTAGAAAATTTTCCCTTAATCGATTATAATTCATTTCTCATGATCAATATTAACGAGTATTATCGATAATTGCATAAAATACGTGCAGAATACGTATATTGACATTTTCTTTTGATAATTCTAAGTGCGATCAATCATAATGTACATACCAACACAGAGTTAATATATTTTATTCATTCTTATCTTCAACTATTGGCAGGAAACTGGAAAATAATGGAATTACCAACGAGATGTTAAATCATTTATTAGAAATAAAATTATTTCTCGATTATATGAAATCATTTATATAAGAAATATTCATTAATAAACAAACAAAGACAAAGATTTACAAATGTTAATATTAAATCGTAAAACTTAATCGAAATAATATTGAAATTATTATCTAACAAATTAAGTTATTACACATCATTGTAGAATAAATCCAATGACAAACATCGTACTTTCAGATTAAAAAAAAGAAAAAAAAAAAAAACAAACAAAAGAACAATCTTCCAAGAATAATTATTGTGAAATGTTAAGAGAAAAGATCGTTATCATTTTGTAAAAAGATAAGAGAACACGATTGCCACTTTATATTTGAAATATTACATTGAGGAAAATTTTTATATAATACAATAGATACAACTGTTTACGTATAATTGCAATATTGTTGAAAATAATATCATTTTGAAAAAAAAACATCTTTCTTTATAAAACTAATTCATATTTTTCATCTCTCTCTCTCTCTCTCTCTCTCTCTCTTTCTAACATATATAATACATTTAATTATGTATAATATATATACAGTAATTAACAACAGTGTTGAAAAATTAGATAATCTTTCCTTTGATCTGATACGTTACATAAGAAAAAAAAACAAACAAACAAACAAATCATAATTTACATGTTTTACGAAATGGATCGTCTTCTGTTACAATTTCTAATATTTGGTAATGGTTTGTTTTTGCATTTTTTCGTCCATTCGTTCCAAGCTTTAAATCCATCCATATTAGAAATGGTTTTAGCGCAAATTATGTCATCTTGTATGTCGTCATTGGCAAAATCCTCGCAACGTTTGTTACAAATACCACCAACGCGACCACGTGTACACCATTTTCCACTGCTTATTTGAAATATACCGTAATAATAATTGGATGCACCTTTTGGACCAGTGATAAGTTTAGTATCCATACCACTTTCGTATTTCATTAAACAAATCCAATTGCTTATGAATGTTCTTGAAATACCGCCACGTTGTAATTCACGCATGGCTTCGCATTCGTTTAAAATTTTAGCCGTTGTTGTTGAAGTTTCAAATGATAATAATAATAATAATAATAATAAGACGATTGTAATCGTCCTGATATTTCTTCGCGATTTTTTTATCATTTTTGTATATTGTTATTGTTATTGTTGTTGTTGTTGTTAACAAAAATTTAGAGACGTTTTTCTCTAATTAATCTTTTCTTTCTATTTTATTGAAAGACAACACACACCGCGACCGGTATTCAGACGTAAATGTTACCAGTTTGAATGTCACTACGACGTTTTACTACTAACAACGATAGAAGTTGACCTCGAGCTTGAGCGATAAGCTTTTTAATGTAATTACATAGAACGAATGATGATTGGTTGTCCGTTTCTCCTTACTTCTGACACTTCTTATCTCTGATTCTTTTTCTTGTTTTTTTTTTCTTTTCTTTTTTTCTTTAATAGTTTAAACTTCATTTCCAAGTATTTCATACACGATGAGGAAAATTGACAAATCCTATACGAACTATTAATAGATGATATATATATATATATTTAAATATAAATATGTATTAAAATTCTCGATCGAGGATTTACATATGTAATTAAATCGAGTTTTAACGGTTGGTAGAATTAATTTTACATTTTTAATGAGGTATTAACTGTTATGATAATCTTTCTCTTTCTATCTCACAAGATTGTTTATTAATATAACGAAATATTATTAATATTGTATAATAATATTGAATAGAAATAATTTAATATTAACCTTTGCTTATCACACTTGGTCCAAAGGACTCAGACGACCTTTTTTTTGCCAACTGCAAGTCATTTTTCTCAATTGTTCATGTTTGGTCATTTTTTTAAACATATTTAAATTTAATTTAATGCTATAATATCTATATAGTCTTATTAAGTAAGTATTAAAGAAGTCTGAAAAAAAATGTTGAAGTAAATCTATGCAATAATTTTTTTTTTATAACGATTTTTCTCACTCGGGTTCAAAGGACCCGGGGGGTGTGGTAAGCGTGTTACTCCAGGAAGGGTGGTAAGCATTATTAGCGCATTATGATGGACATCCTCTTCGTCAGAGTTAGAGAGTCTTCTCGCGCTTCTACTCTGCGGTTCGGTATCTTCTTCATTATTGGTATGTTGATAACCATGGAATTTCCTCTTTTGGTGGTCTTAAGGCACAAGACGTTTCACGTTTAGTAGTTTTAAGATAAGACTGCATTTTATTTTATTTTACTGACTAAATTATTCCGCACAGAACGAACTTCAGAAGTAAACTGAACTGAACTGAACTGAACTGAACTGAACTGAATTAACGGCAACACTGGTTTTAACGTACTTTATAGTAACTATACAGTTGATATTTTCATAGAAATGAATAACAAAAGATTTTCCAAACATCTGCTTACCCGGGTCTTCAATACAAAAGATCTCAAGGTCAGAAATCTGAGAAGCAGGTAGCGACAGTCGAGGCCCCAAACTGGCCGCTCAAGCTCCAAGTTCAGACGGAACACTTAAATGAATTTTTAATTGATAAATAATGCGAATTTCATTGTAAAAATTTACAGGCATATTTTTGAGATATTAAACTAATTATTTATGAAAAAAAAAAAAAACAATTAGATTTTTTTATTTTACATGTATCGTCGTCCTTAATACATCAATTTGATAATATTGTGTAATGTTGTATTATTATAGAAAATATATTATAGTATAATATAATATAATATACATATGTAATATGATGATAATGATAATAATAATATTAATAATAATAATTTGCAAAGTTATAATTAAATAAAAAGCATAATAATATCACAATTACTCGTCGAAACAATAAATGCATTAGTAAAACGATCGAACACGTTCATGTGCACTTAGTCACGAGTATTATCGTCATATACATTATCTTAGTAATTTTTGTAACTCGTTAAAATTCATATACTGATTTTCATGTGTCAAACTTATCATTGACAATTCTATGGATGGAATATCACTATTTATTTATCGTCAATTATAACGATTATCTTATTCATAAATTGTTTTTTTTCTTCTTCTTATAACTGAAACTTACATTTTTAATGAACAATTATATTCTAATTGTATAATAAACTTTTAACTATTCTATTTAGATATTTGTAAGTATAAAAATAACTTCGAAGATTATATAATATATATAATGGCATTTCAATTTTAACCTTTGCTTATCACACTTGGTCCAAAGTACCCAGACGACCTTTTTTTTGGCAACTGCAAGTCATTTTTCTCAATTGTTCATGGTTTGGTAATTTTTTAAACATATTTAAATTTAATCTAAAGCTATAAAACCTATATAGTCTTATTAAGTAAGTATTAAAGAAGTCTCAAAAAAAATGTTGAAGTAAATCTATGCAATAGTTTCTTTTGTATAACGATTTTTCTCACCCGGGTCCTTTAGACCCGGGTGTGGTAAGCGTGTTACTCCAGGAAGGGTGGTAAGCAAAGGTTAATGTATAGAATACAAGTTATATTTGGCGAAAGAAAAAAGGAGAGTACTTAAATGAATATGTGTGTGTGTGTGTATAAGTGTGTACACTTAAAACAGTGAACAAAATATATCTCGAAATAATATAAATAAATTATTATTAGGAGTACAAATAAGTTTCCGCCGTTTTGAGAAAGATGGCATGGCATGAGTCTTACGTTAGAATTCGCAGATGATAAGAAACATTTGATAACGATGAAACAAACTCATGCTGTGTATTTGATGGGATCAGCTGGGTGTGGTGTATTACGAGTTACTTAATCCAAGCGAAACAATTATTGAAACTCTCTACTGAACACAATTGATAAGATTGAGTCGAGCTCTTAAGGAAAAACGCCCTCAATACTACTCCAGACACGACAAAATTATTCTTCTACATGATAATGATGAAAAATTATTTGAAAACACTTGATTGGGAAGTACTACCCCACCCACCGTATTCACCAGACATTGTGCCATCCGACAATCATCTGTTCTGGTCAATGGCACATGCTCTGTCGGAGCAACGGTTCAAATCATATGAAGATACCAAAAATTGGGTTGATTCGTGGATAGTCTCAAAAGACAAAGAGTTTTTCAGACATGGAATCTGAACGCTGCCTGAAAGATGGGAAAAAGTAGTTGCTAGTGATTGGACAATACTTCGATTAAATTTAAACTAACGTTCTTTCACAATAAATATTATTTTTGACAAAAAAAAAAACGTCGAAAACTCATTTGTACTCTTAATATTATAATTTTGGCTTATTATTATTATTATTATTATTATAGCATCAAGATCCAGCCTTCGTTAATTTTAATCGTCTTTCCTTGGCAAATTGCAAATATTCAGGATTGTCATAAATAATTTTAGCGAGTGTTTCAGTACCGGCATATGTGTCAGCTTTAGTACCCATACACATTGACAATTGTGTATCGGATAATTCTTTGCCACATTCAACGTCATGAAAAACGTGTATTAAATGTTGATCAGCCGCACGAAATATTTTAATTTTTGATTTGACTACTTTTTCATAAAATATTACATCCTCTTTGCCCCAACCACGAATAGATAAATCAAAACCACCAACAATATCGTAATCCTTTTTATACAAGGATACAATACCAAAACCAAATTGTCTCCAATAACCGGTCATTTCTGTAATAATATAATATTTGTCATGTCTCTTAGAATAATCACTTTTATAAACGATCTTTGGATCGTATTCGCTAAAAACTACTGGAAAATATATTTGTCTATTGATTATTGTATTTAATCGTATACGATATAACGCAGAACTCGTAAAAACAATATCTACGTCTATGAAAAATAATAAATCATCGTCTTTCATTTGAATAACACCTTCGTGCAAAGCATTAGCCCTTGCAAATTCTCCGCTACCTAAAATAACATCGATAGTAGCACTTCGATATTTGTACTTCAATTGTTCGATCAAATTCATTGTTTTGTTCAATGTATCTTCTATTTTGTGTTGATATAATACTATCAACAATTTTGTCTTTTCATCAGTCGTTAAACATACTTCTTCATAATTTTGAATAAATCTTTGAAATACTTCGTAACGTCCTGACAATGGTAATATGAAATTAATGATTTTTTGATCTTCCATTAAATTAACACTTTTGCTTGATAACAAATTAAAATCCAAAAATCTCGATGGTATTAAATTTTGTAAAAATCTATTACGATTGTCTTGTTTAAATTCTTCATTATCATCATTATCATCATTATCATCATCATCATCATTTGTCACTTCTCGTATTTCTAATCCTATAAAAAAAAAAAGAAAAATAATTATCCTCAATAATTATCAAATAAAATTATATTTAAATCAAAAAATATATTAATGAATTAATTACCAGTGAAATGTTGATGAAGATAAATATGTCTTCTAACCGGCATTGTCAATTTTTTTCCTCTAAATTTACGATAGACCAAAAGTAGATCTAAAATAGTATCAGCACCATAAGAATTAACTCTTCTGTAACCATACAGTGCAGATCTTTCGTCTACTACACGTCCACGTTGTCTCGAACAGGCATTTATTTTAACCATTACTTCTCTAATATTATCATCCATAGCCTCTTTAATGTCACTGTGAATTCGTCTTCTAGGATTGAAATCGGCCAAACTATATTCCGATTTAGAAATGAAATCCCATGGTATAACTTCGTCACTTGTGGTTGGTTTGAAAGTACGAAGTCCAACAGGAACACCTATTCACAGTATAAAATCAATTTTGGTATTGTTTTTTAATCAAATATATATTGTTGTTGTTAGTATTATGGTGTTAGAAATATGAAAGTTTATTGTCGCAAAAATATCATCTCAATGTTGCTGTCCTTGAACAAGATCTCCCACATTTCACGACCCTAACATCGTCGTACCCTCATTTCGTTAAGAATCCATTCTAATATTATCTTCCCACTTACGTCTTCTTATTGGTTTAAACCAAATGGTATTTTTTTCCCCTATATTAGATTTACCAATTAGTATTTTATATGCAATACGATCTTACTGATCTTTATGACTTGAATAATAATTATTTTTGATAATTCGTTACATAATTTTGTTGATTAATCATCATTCATCACGTTTTGGGATCTCTAGCACTTGAATACGCTATCTAGTGGCTAAATTCAAAATTAAAGTAGATAGGTCGACTTGCTATACCACGTGGGATCTCAAGCACTTGAATCACACTATCTGGCGGCTAAATTCAAAATTAGAATAGATAGGTCGAATTGTTATGCCACGCCCCTGCGAGAGATCCCATTACTCGTCACATTTTGCAACATATATCACGTATTTATATTGATATGTTATAAATAAAATAAACAGAATAGATCATAGGTAATCATAGGCAATAAAAAATTGTATTAGACGAAAGTAATAATCGAAGTATTTGATCTTTTCACTGTATAAACTATAACAAAACGTATCCCCGTATATCTCCTTTCTTTCTAGTCGCGTCAGACTAACAATCAGTTTGCATAGAGTAATCATGCAAAGTGGATCTATTAATAATGTGTACGTGTGCGTGATGAAATACAATCGTTCTTGAAATGATTGCCTTAATTGAATTACAGATATCTGCCTGGTTAAAGAACGCTTTCAAGGCTGTTTTAAAGCAATGACTTTACTAAAGATTCAATATCCGTGAAGAATATTAAATATAATTTAAGATTTATTTGTAATATATATTTGAATTTATTTATCAAACAATTTACCTAATATCTCCGTGTCACCAGGATAATCCTCGGAATAATGATTAACGGGAAAAAGTGGTACATCAATTGCAACATGATAATTCTTCAATTGTTCGTGATTTATACCCAATTCTTTAATCATCGAATAGATATCCCTTTGCAATTTTATTTTGTCTTGTTGCAAATCCTGTATTTTTAATCCCTACACACAAAAATAACATATATATATATTTTTTGTAAATAAATGTTAGGTTGTTCGGAAAGTAATTTAATTATTTTTTGTTGTTCTAAAAATGAAGACAATTTTAACTCCGCCTAGTTAATATCTAAATATCTAGATAATAGCTAGCTGGTCCCAAGCCCAGATAAAGGAGGAGGGTTCGAGGGTGAGGCTAGCAACCTACCCTCGGTAAAAAAAAGTAATCGCTCATGGAACTAACAAAATAACATTTTTAGGCTCTGAAGTTAGGGACAACAGGACAAAATTCTAAGAAGAAGAAGAAGAAGACAATTTTAGCTTCGATGTTAACCCTTAACGCTCCCAGTGTGCCTCTCAGGCACCCTCAACGAGCAGCGTTCTACTTCAAAGGGTGCCTCCCAGGTACCACCGATGTAAGGCGCTTTATTCCAATTGTGGATCAAGTTGGAGTTGCTGGTAGATAACCACAATTAAATATTAGAGCATTAAGGGTTAAACCTAAGCCTTTCAATTGAATTGAATCCAATCTCACGTGTTGTTATTTTCAAGGGTGAATTCAACTAATGTCTTTATTGTATCAGGAAAAAAAAAATGAAATTACTTGCCAAACAACCGAATAGATATTGTCAATTTGATCATTGTAATGAAATACAAACCCTCATATAATTATGAAGTCTGTACATGTATGGAGAACTTTTGATAGGATGTAAAGTAATGGCACGATGTACTTCCTTTCTCTTGAGATTACCCGTAAACGCCTGATTTCCGCTGCTATTGTGATAAAAAATTGATTGCATCTGTAATAGAAAAATATAACTATTAATTAGGTCGAGTCATAAATAACTTTCGTTTTTTATGAGAAAAAAAGAATGGCGTTTCTGCGATTGATAAGTGCAAGACACCTTTTTTTGCACTCTTCGCAATTGTTCAACGTATCTATTGGATTTTACTCCAATATTACCTTTAAAAGGTTCATCAAAGTCGGAAATACGTCCTGCACTTGGTTCATCTTTTAAGATCGTATCACCAGAACGGAATTTTACAAACCAATTTCTGACTGCCCTATCAGTTATCAGTCCTGCACTGTATACGCTGTATATTTTTTCAGTTGCCACTTTAGTGCTATTGCCTTGTTTCAATTTCTAAAGCATTACATGTCGAATATGCACTTTTTACTATCCATTTCAGTGGTTAAGAAAAAACGGTTAAATGTAACATTGACTGTATAAAGAAAGTTAACAGAAGATTAACTGAATCCTCATTTATACAGTGATATCGAAAATCCGTTTGTTTCGGTGACTTATAGTAGGTAAATACGAAAAATAGATTCTACATAGCCGCATCGAAAGTTACTTATGACTCGACCTAATTTTAATATATATAAATTACGTGTCACGTTGTTTGTTCGCAATGGACTCCTAAACTACTGAACCGATTTTAATTAAATTTAGCACACTGTGTGCAGTTTCATCCAACTTGAAAGATAGGATAGTTTATATTTCAATTTATAATCAAATTATTTGTTTATTAACAAAGAGTCATGATTATCTCTGTTAGTTCGATAAGATTCTAACAGACGGTGGTATAAGGTAATTCGTTAACTTAAAGACGTGTGTGTATCAGACTGATTGTGAGCCACAGCATAGTTGAAGTTAATGTTCACATTCATAGTTGAAGTTAATGTTTTGCTATTATAAATGAAAGAAGTTATTTGATGATTTCTTCTTCTTCTTGTTGTTTTATTTTTTTTGTACTTTTTGGTATTTAAAGTTTGTAGATGTTAAAGATCGAGAAGAATAACTCGATACGGTTACTAGGTTAGCAGGGTACGATTCGCTTGTACTTAACGACTAACATCCTCATCTGTGCATTGTACCTTCCGAGTTAACTCAATGATAGCGTACCCCGTATATGATGCAGATGCGTGGCATATGTATTTAAGCCAGTGGTAATATGTATAGTACATTCTATGTACGTGGTATTATGTTATTTTCTGTCTCCATTAAATTATTACGAACTCGCGTGTTCTCAAACCTGATCCAGTATATGGAAGATTACTACTTCCTGGTCACTCTACATTGCGAATTTACCACTACAACCATTATTATATTGTTCCTTACAACTTTTACATATACATATTGTTAATTGAAATGAAGTTATTTCAAAGGAAAAAGAAAATGTAGAAGAAAGAAAAATCATTTTCTTCGAAATAAATATTACGTTGAATAATACTTTTTGGATTATATTTGATCGTTCGGAATAATTTTTTTTTTTTTTTTTTTTTAACATACAACATAGTTTGTTGTACGAGTAAACGTAATTTTCTTTTCTCTTTTTTATATTTTCTTTTTTTTTTTTTTGCTGTCGCGACAAGATATAAGCACCGCAAACGTTTAATGAGATTCGAGTTTGCAGTGGTCAACAAATTAGTCTTAACATATACGATTGGTATATACACACACGTGTTGGTTAGCACATATGCCAGAGATTAAACGAAAAAGAAAAAGAAAAAAAAAGGAAAAGAAGAAGAAGAAGAAGAAGAAGAAGAAGAAGAAGAAGAAGGGAGACTGACAAAAATAGATAGACATGTATGAAGGTGTATATAAGAAAGAAACCTAGAAATATAGAGGGCCCTTCCAAGAAATGAAAAAATAAAAATAATCTGTAACCGGATCTATCGAATTTCATTTTTGTTCAAAAATCTATTAATAATATCAATGATATTTATATAATTGTATAATAGAATTATTTTTACATATAATATAATATATATAATATAATTTATATATATATTTAATTAATTTATTTAAAAATAAGTTTATTAATTAAATATTAGTTTAAATTATAATAATTAATTTATTAGTTATTTTTTTAATAAATTGATATTATATTAATATATATTATATTAATATATATATTATATATATTTATAATATTATATATATTAATATATGATATATATATATATATATATACGTATATATTTTCTCAAATTAACAAGAGTAATTTAAAGCTGACCCTTTCTCATTCTACGTCTGTGTGTTTGTGTTATCTTATTTATAAAGTAGTTTTAGTTTTAGGCTAAAAGGGGAATAAAAGGGAGAACTTGGATCGAGAGAGACCTTGAGAAAATGTTCCGAATATCTTTCTCGGTTTCAACATTCTTTTAAACATCATTTTAAAAAACAAAATTATTTTATATTACACGCACGTGTACATGTGACTATTATATACATACATATATATATATATATATATATATATATATATATTTGATAATATTAAAGGAAATAATTATAAACATTAAAAATTATCATGAAATTCTTATCGAGTATAGTTCGTTCATTTGAAAAATTAGTTCAACGACCCAATGATATATTTATAGCCTTGAAACTACTCTAATCGATTTATACTTGAAATGATTTCGATGTATTTCACAAAATCGTCTATTTTATCGAAGATCATTTTTTTTTTTTTTTTTTTTTTTTTAACATAAAAAATCGATAATTACATTATCGAAAAATAGACATTAATTTATTTCTAATAATAATTAATTTACTCTGTATAAAAACGCGATTGTAGTATAATAAATAATAAAAATAAAAAAAAATAAAAACTAACTGAAAATATTTTCGCAGAAGTTTTGTCGAGAATAAGAGATAAAGAAAGAACAGATAAGGTTTATCAATAGTTATAGTATGATCTTATATATATATATATAAGTTATATGTTGAATGAATTACCTCGTAACTCCATGTGCAAGGAATCCCAGCATATTTTTGAACACATCTACCAAGCTCGACGTCCTCGTGAGTGGTATAAAGATGTCTCAAACAATATTTAATATGTGGAACTATCCTTTTAAGCGTTTCCCTTGATATAACAATACCAGGACCACCCATGCAAAAGTTTTCATCATATTCGAGTGAAAGTAATCCAAATTCTTCAGAATTACCTCTACCAGCTTGTCCTATGTACATTGGTTTTCTTGAATCAACAGACCTAAGAAAATTCTCTAAACGATCAGTCCTAACGTAAACGTCATCGTCCGCTCTGAAAAACCATTCGAAACGATTCCCATAATGATTCCACATGTATTGTAACATCATGAATGATTTCTTCTGTGGTGGATAACTATCGTCGACACGTGTCAAAGGTACCAATGGTAATTCGGGACAATTATCTGGCACGGTTGAACTTTCCGATGAGAAAAATGCTATTTTACCAGGTAATTCTTGACCCCAAGTCTCATAAACAGCTTTAGCTCGAGTATCGAGATATTTTTTCGCTGTCATAACACCAACGAATACAAGATTATCCGACGAACTGTTGATACGTTCGTTGTCCGACAATTTAGGCATATTTTTCACTGTCGGTTCTATCATTGTATTTATTCTTAACGCGGAAGAAAATGTTGATAATGACGAGGAGAAGGAAGAAGACCAACCGGATCGTTGTACATTGTTTAACACGAGTATCCGATAACCACTGATCAGTAAACCGAACACGAGACCGACCGTAAGGCCCAGAACGGCACTAGCCAGGCCACGTCTCCTACGCATCGCTGAACGATACGTCACCTCTCCCATTCACTCTCTTCCAGAATTTGTCTAACTCCGTCTCGATTCATCATCATCATCATCATCATCATCGTCATCGTCATCGTCGTTGTTCTCCTACACGTCATCGTCGTTGATCTTCTTTTGGTTATCCTAATAGCTGCCGGTTCTGGATAATATCGTTCCTCTTTCGACGATCCCATTGTTAATTTTATTTCTAAAATTATAAACAAAACGAAATATAATATTTATTTTATAATCATGTATTATATTAACACGTTGCCGCAAATGACGGCTATAGCCGTCCGATCTTCGTATTTCTAAGCACGATCGTCAAATTAAAAGTGTGCGGCAACGTGTTAAGTCGTACCAAAAGTTTCTTATTTTTTTTTTTTTTTCTTGGAATTCTACGGCATGAAAATTATACATTTTTGAATAATATACAGTTAAGAAAAAGGTATAATAATTTATATTATTTAATAAAATATTACACATGCAATATTGGTTTATCTTATCACCCAAAAAAAAAAGGAAGACACTTTTGGAACGACTTAATATGTCATGGTCAATTATTTATCTAACGAGTTAGACAAACATTTAATTAAATGTATACGTCGATAATAATTATAATTTCTATTTAATTACTCCAATGCTTCTATTCTATTCTATTAATTAATTAATTAATCTTTCTCCATTAACTACCGGTATAATCAACATTTGTCTTAATTGTTTATTTATTTCTTTTTTTTTTTTCTTCTAATAATTATTTTTCTTTTAACAATATCTATCTCGACAGCGCTTAAACGTATATTAAATATTGTCCATTTAAACGACATTTTCGTTATCCACTACTTCGTAATACGAACTTTCACCCTGATAAACTTGCGTAACAAAGAACATTGCCTTTAAATCTGTTATTTAATCATTTTCAAAGATCATTTTTCATGAAATAATAATTACTTTTTAATTATATTTATTGTGACACACACCTGATGATGTTAAAAATAATTTGTGTGTGTGATTGGAAACAAGATTAACAATAATAAGAGAATCAATTAAAAACGGTATACGAAACGAAGAGAAGAGAACCGGTTTGAGCCGAAAGTTAGAGCCCTCCTTGAGACAGACTTCAGATAAAACGATGTGTCTCGTGTTTTATAGGTTTTTTGTACTAATACTTTTGTCTACATACCACGTATTATAAATATACATATGCATATATGTAGAATAAATTGACAGTGCAATTATCGTATGTCCTTTACTTAGTACCGATAGACCATGTTTAAACAATACAAAACAAACAAGAAAAAAAGAAGGTAAATTAAACACAAAACAAGGTTCAATCTTTGTACAAATATAATAATCAATAAATGACCATTGAAAATGATCTGAATTTATAATGAAATTGAATAAAAAAGAAATCTTTTTCAAATATTTTCCTACCTTGAATTTATGGATGATACGAGACTCATGATTTCAAAGAAAACTTTTGCCGGATTTCCAATGGAAGGGGGTAGAAAAAGATATGAAAAGAGAAATATTACTACTACCCTAGAAAAAGATTGATGTATATGTATTTATGTATGTATGTATGTATTGAAGGGAACCACTGATTGAAATGTTAAATAGTTTTCTGTATCTTGTCGTAGGATATTTTAAACGTTGAAACGAGCGTCTCGACGAAAGGCGATCGACTGGTTTAGTCATACGGTGGCCAGCTTATTAGGAGGCACCGTTGCTAGTATGTTTTGTTTTCTTACCGTTTCTTCGTCGCTATTGGACGCGTCTTATACCCACTTGTGTATCGAACGAAATCTCCGAACGGTACGATTCTTATTGAAATGAGCCGACTGAGACTACCTGCTGTTTACACAGAAGACGTTCGAAACCTTTTTACAATTTTGCTGATGCATATATATATATATATATATATGAATAATACAAGACGAATGTTTATATTCCTAAGGTAATACACTATCGAAATTGTGAACTATGAAAATGTCAACGATCCCTATTAATTTTGGTAAGTATTATGAAGTATGTTGTAAATATTATGAATAATTTCGTTTGGGATGATTTAAAGGAGTGCCTATGAATAATTGTCTATTACCGTATGACCTCGAACGAAGACCAGTTGTTAATTGTTCCCACAGACGATGAGAACAAACTCGTCTAATGTCCTAACGTGGAATATAGTCTGAACGGAGAGTTCATGTTACTGTCTACAGTAGATTGTCCAAGTAGAAAGAAGAATGATGAAAGAAACAACAACGTTTGTCTTCTTCGATCAAATGACCGTTGATACTGAGACACTTCTTCCTTAACTTTTCCTGTAACCGATGGATGAATGCTTCACGGTTCACAGAGCTGTTCTTCTTTTTATGCTTCATTAAATTTATGAATACTTTCGAGAACAGTCAAGACTCTTATTTCAATCTTAAAAGAATGACTGGCTTTGACTAATCTTCTTTATGTAATATTCTAAATAAAATATATATATATTTTAATAAATTATGTAGTTGTGTGATTAAATATTTGCAACGTGAATCAAAAGAGTATAAGGTTCAAAGTAGAAAATCCGGATTAACATGGTGTGCGTTCCTGTAACGATAAACCACAAAAATGTTCTTTTCTTTTATCGAACCTAAGGCATAATGTTTCGATTTACAAACCGCACGTGTGTGGTTTGTTCCGAGTATCCATCATCCCATAGCGATTATTATAACTCTTTCCTTTCATTCAAATTACTCTTCGTATTCGAAATAAAATCATAAATTCGTCTGTTTTTTTTTTTTTTTGTAAAACAGAAAGAAAAATCAAAATCAATTTAAACTGGCTGAAAAGAATATCAGCCAACATTGTATCGAATAATCGAAAAGAAAAAAGAAAAAAACAAAATATTTGATGATATCGTTAATAATAAAAAAGAAAAAGAAAAAAAAAAACAACAACTCACGTTTGTGATGATGGTAGTAGTAATAATAGTAGTAGTTAACTGTTCAAGCTTGTTCGAATATTTTGATGATACGATAAATAATTACCGAACGAATCCGCACGAGTGTGGAGAGAATTTGCACGCTAAGAGAATAAACCGTGGTAAAATTACCCTGGCTCATGTTTGCAAGGAGAACTCGCATACTCGTACGTTGTAAGAACTGGTCGCGTGTTATAATCGTGGTAGAACAACGAACACATACTACGAACAGGATGCCACCACGATCGCGACTGAACGAACGAACGAACGAACGAACGAACGAACGAACGAACGAACGAACAAACGGTACGGAGATCGTTCTCTTCGTCCAACCGGCGGGGCTATTCCCCGCTAACCGGCTGCTTAAAAACATGAGTAGGTAGGGATGGTTAAGTATAAAACCGAAAACCTACATGGTTCCCCTTAATTTGTCCGAAAACTGATAAGTTACGAAGAAAGCAGCTTATCTTTGAAGGACTACGCTGAGCAGTGTTATTTGATAATGATTAATTCAACATTTTTGGTAGAATCACACTGTCATTTTTATTTTCATTATAATCAAATATATTATCATGGTTCTTTTTCATTTGAAATTATAATATTAATATGAACGAAAAGTTATTTAATTAATAATTTATTTATTTATTGCACATTTGTTAATAATATGTTATTATATTTTCTAATGAAGTTATTTGCATTAATTGAATGTAATTGATAATTTATTGTATATTACGTTTGAGAATTGCAGTGGTATTTTACCTTGTCCCTGACCTCGGCAACCTTGAAATCTTTGAAAGCCTCCAATCACCCTTTTGACCTTCTCCGGTCGATGATCGAAGAGTTGTGTTACCGTTAGGCAGATAATTCGACGTTTTATTCATTTACATTCCAAGTGTTACCTCTCTTTGAGATTAGGAAGATTTCTATAGACACCATATTTTAGATTTTTCTTAACTGTTTTTATAACATAATACAGAAATTCATCATTAAATACAAATATAAGTATTATTTACGATACTGTAATTATTTTTAATTGAATGATTGAAGAAGGTTTATTATCGATAACATTTGTATCATTTTAATGAAATATTTTTATAATTTATAAATATTAAAAAAAAATATTGTTTAAAAAGTAGATAAAGAAAAATATTTTTCAATTTACATTGACTGTATATATAAATTTTTATAAAACTGTACGATATGATAACCGCTTATATGCGACACACGATAGGCCATAAATGGGTGCCTATTAAAGAACACGTGTGTACCATGTAAAAATAACCGTCGATTATAAATGCATCCGTGCATTTGAATTAAATATATATTTTTCAAAGTGTGTGTGTGTGTGTGTGTGTGTGTGTCTATCTGTCTGTCTGTGTATATTCACAATACACATAAACGTGTACATCAATAGATATTGCAATTGTGAACTACGGAGTAAGAATAGTGCAAAACGTTATGCTATAGTTCTGCGTCCGTAAAGCAGGAACTTCCGTCGAAATGAGAAGTGAATTGAACAACCTTTACGCTTCGTAAATTTCACATTATCTTTCATTGGTTTCGTTCAATTCTTCGATCGAATGAAATACGAGGAAATTAAGATTGACGAACTTAGTAATGTGAATATTAATTGACAATCGTTTAAACTTAAAGCTAGAAATTTCTGAAATAATAAATCGATAGAATCAGTATTTTGTTAGAACAATTATAGTACACAATAAAATCAATTATAAAAGATATTAGTATTTATTATCATTATTTTTGTATGTATACAAATTATTAAATCATAGATTATTAATTTGTCAATTATAATTTAATATAAACAAATAGTTTCTATGTTGAATAGATAATAGAATAGAAAATATTTTTGATAATGTAAATTAATAAAATGTTCATATTATTCGATTATTAATTATAAGTTTAAAATAAGTATACTTCAGAATATATCTATTTTTGTTTATCATATAAAGTAAATAAATAAAAAAAAAATATGAAATTTGAATATTTATATACATATATATATGTATATATATTTATTATTAGTTATTATTTATCACTTTTGATGTATCTTACATTCAAATTGCCGCGGTACTTTCTCAAAATGGCGGGAATCAGTTAATGTGAGGATAGATCGTTGAACCCAGGACAACTACGTCAAACAAGTAACGTATTTATATTTCAATTAACGGTATTCGTTTTAATGTTATACAAATATCGTGCATTATTAATAAAATCTAAAAAATATAATATAAAATTTCACTTACGATTTGATTATCGTATCGATAAATAATAGTAATATAATTTAGCAGTACTGTAAGTAATATAAGTAATTAAAGACTAAAGAATTACAACATTGATTTGACCTTGTAACAATTAAAATTATTACAAAATATAACATATCAAATATATCAACGAGTAATTAATAATCATATGATTATAAAAATAATGATAAATAAGTCACGTTTATAGATTGTAATATAAGTTTACAAAAAATTGTATAATACGGAAGTAATGGAACATCGTTATAAGGGCACCGGAAATATATTCGTTCCTGAACAATGATGACTACAGTGCTGCTGATTTGACTAGTGTCGTGACGGAAGTGACGCGCGTCGCTTCGTTACGTTTACATTCTGTTCTCGACGTCGCGTTCATTGTGGGGAGCCATTAGCCTCGTACGCGCAAAGCATCGTGCCATATTCCTATTCGCGCCCTAAAACTAACACCATTTTAATAGTAGTTTTAAGTGAAATATTATGAGAGTGAAGACCGAAATGGACGACGACGAGAAGGGGTAAGTAATAATCTCAAATAAATATTATTAAATATATAGTTTCATTGTCGAAAGCCGCGTACCGTGACGACCATAGGGTTTATTGCGTGAGAACTCCATTTGCGCATCGCGACCAATTCTTTTGATGCTTTTTCAATCGCTTATTTCTTTTTCTTAATAAATATTCATCAAATTACATTCCTCGTATATATCCTAATGATATTTTCAATTCGTATATTTTTATTTTTTTTTTTATATATCATACGTAGTGTCTGATCAGACTAAAAACCTTCATTTTCTCTTGTACTTTTTTTTCTCTATTTGCAACATGAGGCATAAGCGAACGAAAGACGAAAGTTCCTTGGTTATCGTACAGCAAGGCCGTTTCATCAACGCCGGCACATATGTCGTTCATTTTGTCTTACCGGCTTCATCCAGCATACCAAAATTCATTCTTTCGGTAGATCTTTATGTGCATATATGCGCGCGTTGATTTTTTTTCCGTCTCATATATATATTTTTAAATATATATATATATGCTATGCATATATGTATATATGTACATACATATACATATATATATAT